TGGCGGTAATACTCTGTATACAGTCTCTCTTACTGTGTTTCTGCAGACAGTAAGAGATGTGAAGTAATTCTCTCTATCACAGCGTAGAGCCAAGTGGCCTCAAGCAGAAGAAAAACTGAATGTACAGCCAGAAGTGTTTTTACCTTTAAGCCCAAGCCCTCTCAGGTGATTGAGCCAAATTCCGTTCCTAACACCTTATTTGCTCCCACTATCTGTCTCCTGAGATGGCATTTCCCGCATGTGACTCAAGATGCTCTCAAGATGGGAAGGTTCAGTGTAAGCCTGAAGAAAAGAGAGTCTGAGCCAGAAAAGTGGAGGAGCCTCTCCCCCCAGGACTTGCAGTGGAGGACACAAAGTCTTTTCTTTTTAGCCCCGATGGCCAGAATGGAAGTGTTGTCTGGAGAGAAAGGGTGGCGAGCTCAGAGAACAACCTGGAAGCCTTTGTGGATTTCTTATAGCTGAACATAAACGTGCAGGCTATAAGGAGTATGAATGATGTAACGGTTCCCAGAGAGGGCTCTTCACTGGAGGTGTTAGCTGGTGGGGGTGACTACAGGGTGTGGAGGTGGAAAGGTCTGCCTTCTTGTTGGGGGTGTGGGGGGTGGGTGCGGGGAGAATGAGCAAAGCCCAACACGTACCTCCCTCTGCAGGACCTGGATTTAGGAATGGAGTAGAATTTAGAAGTTTAGGAGGTTTTAGAAATGCCTTGCTGTTAGCAGATGCTGTGTTTGTTTAGGTGATGAAGGTGAATGAACGTCTGTTCCGGTGGTCTCTGGATGTGGAGGTAGAACTTAATAACTCGACTTGTGCTCCTTAAAGAGGTAGAGGTGAACTTAGCTGTTGAGGTGAACGTGTAATCTCTTTGTACCAGAGCTGTGCAGCAGAGGTCTGTTAGCAGGGCTCAGAACTGTGTTAACCTGAAGAAAGGGATTTTCTTCCCTTTTTTTTTTTTTTTCCCCCCCAAACATATTCTGCCCTGACCATGCAGTGCTTTTTCTTTTCTTCTCTTACTCGCAATCCTCTCTGAGGATCAGCAGTGTGAAGATCATTAAAGATGTACACTGCGGAGCCGAGGTCACAGTGTGATCTTAAACATCTGCCGTGATGCAGACAAAAGAGTCCCTGAAAAAAAATTGTGGGTGTTGTATTTTTGTGGACACTGTCTTCACCTCCTGCAGTTTGTGAAGAGGTAACTTGCATTCCCCACTGGAGAGCAGCATGGCTGTGCTGGGCTGGATCTCCCCTTGCCTGGGAGAAGCCTGGCTGCTCTGCCTCTGGAGGTGGTTCACAGAAAGAGCTCAACTACAGGTTTTCAGGGCTTTTTGAGTTTCTCTGCAGCAACTTTTAACTGCTCTGTCTCCATTAAGGAAATGTGGTGGGGGAATATAAAGCTGCAAGGACTGCCTTGTGAATTTAAAGTTGTGTTTTTTTAACACAGTGTTATCTTTAGGGCATAAAGATTGGATACATGCTAATGTGGATATAGTCGTAATTCTTGCTGCTCTTGTGGCAGGGTTTGTGGTACAAGGGTTGGGCCCCGGGGAGTGAGGCAGTGGGCAGGAGTAAGTCCCTTGTCTCTCCAGGAGAATCCAAAGAATGCAGCCCTATCTTGGGGTCTGACTTTGAGCAGAAGCAGGCAGCTGTTTCGGGGATGTCAGTGGTCCCTCATTCATGTACTGCTTCTAATTGCTTTGAAAATGGGAGATCTGTCACTGACTTCTTCTCTGACAAAGATTCTGTTTGGCACTGAACCCAGTGCTAGATCTTTTGCTGTGTATGCCCCTGTCCCCTAATAATATTATAGGGGAGAGTGTATGCATCCCATGATTTACATGAGCTCAGCTGTTCTGTGTGCAAGCTTTTTCTTTTCCTTTTTTAAATTTTTATAACTATAATGTTAGGAGATAGTAGTGGAGGGGAAGGGGAATGGAGCCAAGGTGCTTAGAGAAGATAATTCTGACTCTTTAATCGTGTAGGTGTTAAATAAGAAACTATTATAACAGAGGCCAGTCTCATGCCTCTTGACTGAGAAACCTCATAAGGACCTTTTCCTTTCCTCCACTTTGGAGGGAAGTGTTTCTTGGTGATGGTGCTGAATAATTTCTAAGCACTAGGAGTAACTGAGCAGCAACCCCATCGTCCCCGCCGCCCCATCCCATACTTTGATCTGTTAAATGCGAACTTGAAGGATACCTACAGCACCCTTCATTGCAGCATTAGCCCAAGCGTATTGTGGTGATGGGCACACTGAGAACACCTAAGGCAGTGCTGAGTGCCAGCAGCGCCTTTCGCCTTTCGCTAAGGGAAAAGGAAAGGGAAAGACCTTTCATCTTTGCCTGATGGAGGAGATCGTGCTTTAATGACCCGTTTGTGTTAACAGGATTAATGCAAGTGCACTCCGGCACTTAGCTAATGACTGAGTTGCACTTTGGCTCTCTTTATTTCTTTTGTCTTTTTAACTTTTCTGTTTTCTAAAGGTGACAGGGGCGTGTATTTGAAAACTGTCATGTCTCCCTGGCTTTATGAGATCGCTGGCTGATTGAATTTTGAACGCTCTGGGTATGGGGAGATGCTAAAGGTGGCAATTGTTGCGTGGGGTTTTTAGTTAAACAGGCAACTTAGATAAAGGGCACTTGCCTGTTCATTAGTCAGTGAATTCACTCAACTAACTGGGTCTGGTCCAAGCAAAAAGGGAGCTTTTTTAAATTTTGTTGAAACTAGAAATTCTGTCTTCATTGAGGAAAATGCCCCATTTCGAGCAGGTGATGCCTGTGATTTTGGTGATGCTGTTTGAGGCTGTCATTAGCCCGGGAACCCTGTCCCCATCCCCAGCAGTCTAGTGGTTCTTGTTAGGCTTTAGCTGTTGCTGGGTTCTTGCCTTGCCTTGGAGGGCTCAGACAGGTATTTTACATCCCTGACTCCAGAGCTCAGCCCGCCGAAGCCTGGTGAATTATGCTGGCTATGCATGTGGCTCGGGGGCAAGGAGTTGGTTGTGTTATTCATAGGCGCTCCCTTCCAGCGTGCCAAAGAGCAAACTGGGTACTTGTCTACAAAGGCAATTATTTCACAAGAAAGTTGCTGTAGGGAGCAGCAGGAGCCAACATGGTTAATAGACAGAAAAGATTTCCCTTATCTTTTTTTTTTTTTTTTTTTTTTCCCTCCTGGTGTGTATGTCCCTCTTAAACCATTTTTCAGCCTAATCTTGCCTCTGAAATAGGTCTGCTTCTTCTTGTTAGTCTAGACTCGCCCCTAGCGTGAAATGTTACCTGCATGGGGTTATTGCAGGCTGTTACAGCTGGTGAGGAACAGACAGCAGGCGCGTTCCCAACCTTGCCTGGGCAAACATCAACTCTGTGCTTCCCACTGCAGGCAAAGCAGGGGGGAAGGGGACGCGGTCACAGGAGTGTCCTAATGCAGAGGAGTCTAGGGGATAAATGACGATTCCCAAAATCGCACCCATGTGGGAGCACTGCGGGTCCCTTGCAGGCCATGTCTCTGTGGGTGGTGTGTGCAGTCCCCTGGGTCACTTGGGCATCGGCGGTGGGGACACGGGAAGGCTTCACTGCGCTAAGATTGGACTTGGTGTTTCTCTTTTTAGAAATGGAGAGTGCTTCTAGCTGGCCTTGGATTTTAAAAACAATAAAAAGTTTGATGGAGCTGACAGCTCTGCCATGACAGAGGCTTCCACGGTGGTAATTGGCATCACTTGTGAGCGGCACAGGGCACAAGCTGTGACTGGGTCAGGATCAGTCCCCCAGTGTTTTCCCACTCTTGGGGACTGGCAGAGGGGGCAGATGACAGAGCTTTCTGCCTTGCCAAGGGTACCAGCATCTTTCTTCTGATCAGTTGTTGCAGCAGCTGTGAATGTGCTCGCTGAGCTTTATATTTAAACCCTGACATCTTCCAGGAGAGCTGGTCATTTTAAAACACCCACATGGGGTGGGGGAGCATCACAGCAATGTATCTTTTTTTTTTTTTTAAATAGGACTTTCTGTTTACCAGGGGTCTGTGTTATAACTTTGTCCTATTACTTCGAACGCTGTTCTCCATTAAACAGTGCACCTTGGGTACATTACAAGAGCCATCCTGTAATAAGAGAGAGTCTGTTAGGAAATATTATCTATCTGACCTCCCTGTGTCCTCTTTTGTGAACTGGTGGGTGGCGGCAACAGTGATGCATCAGTACCTGTGGCCCGAAGCTGCTCTGGGTGCTGCCCATCATCACTAATAATGTAGCTTTTGATGGACTGAAGGCTTCTTTCACCCATCAGGTGTGGCTTCTCTGTGGGGATGCAGTTGGCCACACAGGGAGGACCCTTGTTTCCTCTTCTGAACGTGGCTCCTGGCAGGTTGGCCATGTGTGGGGTGCAGAAGGAGGGCATGGCAATTAAGGGTCTTGACCTGGGAGGCTGCAGCTCAGGCTGAGTAACGCTTAGTGCGCAGTGGGGTCAGGCTAAAGTGACCCGTAAACAACCCAGGGGTGCTCATTACACGTGCTGGCGCTGGGACTGTTACATCACCAAAAATGGCGTGCTGGGAGTTTTCGGCATCTGCTGGAGCTGAGCGAGCATAGTATTGGAGTTGCCAAGTCTGGATTTTGAGGACAAGGAGGCTCTTGCCGGGTCCCCCTAGCTACAGCGGGCAGCTTGCGCACCTAAATGGTGGGTCCTGGGGATTCCTCTCCCAGGGCCTGGGTCTGTGCGCTGGCAGCCAGTGCCAGCAGGGCAACAGAAGCAACGCCGTCCCTGCTTGCTCCTGATTAACACAGCCGTATGACTCACAAAAAGTTAATGACTTTAGCCCAAGGAGTTACAGCGGTGGTAAATCTGGGCACTACATGTATCGTCCTCCTTCTGAACAGCACAGCATAAACATCAAAGAGGGGTAGACGGGCTTTACGCTAGGGATGTTTGCGCTGTCGAAGCGTACGGCTCGTCTGTGGTTCGGCAGCTGTTAGCTGCCTGCCATTAGAAGCATAAAACAAAGTTTAGTAACTGGAAATGTGCCTGGAGTACAGGCTGATGAGATCTAGCGTGGTCATGAAAGCGATGATCATGAAGTGCAGTGTTCAGTTTCATAAGAAACATTGGGGAGAAACAGCTACTCCATCCTTCACCATCTGTTCTCTTCTACCCAGGGAGCGCATGGAGTTACTGGAAGAAGCCAGGAAGATGGAAATGGCAAAGTTTCGCTACATCCTTCCTGTTTATGGCATCTGTAAAGAGCCTGTTGGCTTGGTCATGGAATACATGGAAACAGGGTCTCTGGAAAAACTCCTGGCTTCCGAACCTCTGCCCTGGGAATTGCGCTTCCGAATAATCCACGAGACAGCCGTGGGGATGAACTTCCTGCACTGCATGTCCCCTCCGCTGCTCCACCTGGACCTCAAGCCTGCAAACATCCTGCTTGATGCCCACTACCACGTCAAGGTACGCATCAGGCACTCTGTACTAGGGACGCACTTTTGGATGTTCCTGTATGGTTCCTGCCAAACTCAAAGGCCTGAGAGAAACCAGCAGCATTCCTTTTGAATTAGAAAGATGCCCAGCAGCCCAGCCACTCCAATCCTCAAACTTGCCTACCTCATTTATGCACCATTTTGGTACATAAATAGAGGTCGAGTTAGGGAGCTTGTGAGAACTCTCCTGAAATTTTAGGAGGGTGCTAGCGTAGTGAACTCTGGTTTTGAGACCTGATTGGTCCTGCTGTAAATTTCCTTGCAGTAGGATCATGAGGCAGATGAGACAGGGAGAGAAAAGTAGCGTGAACCTCTAAATCATCTATGCCACTTCCACAACTTCAGTGGTAACCTTGTTCTGTCTAGGTCCTTCTGGCTTTGTTCGCTCCACTAAATACCCAAATCTCATTTACAGCTGGATTACAGAGAAGCCTTCCTGGAGGCAACTCATTTTCTTCTTTCATTTGCTGAGAGCATATACAGTGAAGAAGTATCTCTGTCCTGACTGCTTATGCATACCAGAGGTCACTTAAGGAAATTTTTGTGGCTGTATCAGCATGAAATTATTTTCGTTATCCATTTCCAGAGTAAGCTAGCAAAACTTGTTGGCCTTCTCTGTTGGAGGTTCTGTTTTGACAGCTGGACTAAGGAGGTTGTGCTTGCTTTCTGATCCTTCCTTCTGGAGAAGAGGCTAACTTACATATTTTTCCTGATTTTTTTCAAATCGGCGGCCAAAGTCTTCACCTTAGAACTGCAGGTTTAATCATGCCGGCTGGCTGATATAACTCGGTACAAGTAATCACAGATTTTAATTGGTGCCATCATCCATCTGCTTTGTTTTCCTGTCCCCCTCAAACTGGCCAAATGGTTTTGGCCTGTACCATTCTAAAAATGATGTTTCCATGAAACGAAAACATCTCTCCTGATGTCATGAGAGGGTTGGAGCCATAAGAGGTTTGTGCCTCTCACGAAATCACACCTGTGACAGTCTCGGCTTTTTTACTAGGCCTCTTAGTAGTTTACTACTTAGAAGGATTTTCTTTCTGGAACCGGAGGCATCAACAGGTGGTCTATGGTATTATGACCAAAACATCAGGATTTGAACTGTTGAAAGTATTTTCTCACACACTGGTGCTGAGAGACTGTCGCTAAGTATTTATTTACCTAAAGTTTGTACTTGCTTGCATAACTACTTAAATTCCTAATTCTTGACTCATCCATGAGCCAAGATATGAAGGCTGTATTTTTCTCACCGTTTCAGGAGGTTGAAATGCTGCCTGATATTCTGCCTACTTTGTAGCCTATATTGGGTGGTGATGTAATCCAAGGGGCAAAGTGCAAAATGTTAAAAAAAAATGTTTCTGGTGAGGTCATTGTTGACATGCCTAAACTGTTGCTACTTGCTCTGTATATGAAACACATGAAGGTCTTCAGACCCTTTCCATTAAGTTGAGAAAAGAATGGTCTCATCCCAACCTTTTTCCAGCCTGCAGTCTTTTACATCTGGAGGCGTCTTGGAAACCCCTCCATGCAGAAAGCAGAGAGAGGAACCTATATGCAATATGAGAGATGTACATATTCTATGAGGTGCCTCACTTTAAAAATGTGGCCCCAAACCTTCTTTTTGTGTGATGTGAAACTTGTAATTAAATTTCAGACCCTGCAGCTTGATTGAATGTGCATTTTCTTGCTGGAAGGCTAATGGAGCTGGTGATTGAAGTGCTTTTACTTTTTAAATGTTAGTGTTAATTTGGTAGGTGACCTGTCCCTAATAGAATCCTAAGGTGAGTGAAGAGATGTTGCAGACTGCAAAAGAAGAGTTTGGAGGTAGGGAGGACTTTTATAAACTGTTTGCCCTTGAGCCAGGAAACAGACAGTCTTCCAGTGGAGCACATTAGAAATGCTTCTGTGCCGTATTGCTAGTTGAATGGAAACACGCCCTTCTTCTTTTACAAGCACACCACTTACTGTAAAAAGCCCAAGTGAGGATGATGACTAACGCAGTCATGTTGTACAGAACTTATCATCAAGTGGGTGCCTCCATATCATAAAGCCATCTCCTGCGTGTTACATAAGTGTGTGCTGAATTTTGTTCTCAGGTGGATAATTAAGAGGATGGATTAGCCTGAGCACCGAGCAGGGATATAGACAGACAGATGTTAACTTTTTTAAAGGCACGTTGGGGATTCCTTGGTGATTTTAAATATATGTATATAATATGTACAAAGCAAGGTAAGGCTTTGCTGTTTTTTGGAGGATGGATGGATGCATGCATGCCTCCTCCCCTGCGAGTGGTGGTGGAGCTCAGTACTGACTGGAAGCTCAGCTGGGAGCTCCCTTCCCCTCTTTGTCCTGCTCCATCTTGGTTGCCTTAAGCAATATGGTTTCCTTGGGAGGATTACTCCATACTCAGACAGGCTTTGCTAGCCAGGATCAGCCTGCTTTTTCTTTTTTTCCTTTTCTTTTTTCTTTAATTTCAACCTGTTGCTTCTATTTGTATCAATAAGAGCCTCCCTGCCTCGTTCTCCAGTGTTCCATAGATGCAGCCTTCTGATACTTAACGGGCTGCTTAACATTTAGTTTTTGCTTAACTGGACCACGTCTTATGAGGTTGTTCTTCAGCTCTCCTGTCCTCTGTATGAATTCTGGATCTCTCCCCGGAGCTCCCTAGGATGCAGCAGTCACTTGCAGGGAGCTGGTGCTGGGGAAGCTGCGCCACATCCATTTGCTCATTCCCTGCTCGGATGTGATCTCTCTGCAGGGCCCTCTGTAGGAGAATACACATACACACACACACACACACACCCCCCCACATACCCACCACCCTGCCCACCGTGCAGTAATCTCACACCGTAACTTGTTGCCAGCTACTGTGCCCACATGTTCTCTCTATTGGTGTTTCCCAGGTTTCTTATCTTCAAAAATCTCATCGTTGAGAGTGTTACTTTTTGTTCAGGTATTTAAAATGAAGTCAGCCTGCAATTTAATGCTTCTAAGCAAAAGCATTATTTGTAAGTTCTTGCTTCTCTTACTATCCGGCTATCTCTTACTATTTTTGTGGCTTCTCGTATACATGTATATATATACACGCATACGCATGTATATGTGTGTGGGTACACACACACAGAGGCAAATCCCACCAGTTATTTTTCATCTCCCAGATTTTGTTTTTAAAGAACTTGAAGCGGGCTCAACTGGTCTCAGCTGTGCGCTGCTTTAAGCTCACTGTAGTTGGTTGGTTGTTTTTTTTTCCCCCAGTGCTCCAATTTAAATCAATGTCGAGAGTGAAGTTTGCTGCTGTGTTGTGCCACGCTGATGGTCGTACTAAACATGGATAGGTTGCCTCTGTGGTCTTCACCTTTATTTGCTTCAGCTGAAGAAGGGGCTGCAAAATTTGAGTGTGGAGTTAGAAGCAGCCTAGTCAGACAGGCAAATTTGTTTATCAGAAAGCTTCTTAATGTAGGTCGTTAACTGTATGTCAAAGTAATACCCAGAGGCCAGGCTGGTAAAGAGCTTTTTTTTATATACCTGCTGTTGTTAAGAAACCTCTTTTTTTTTTTTTTTTTTTTTTTTTTTATCAACTGAAAATGCCCTCCTGTTATTAGAAATGAGAAGAGGCTTTGTTGTTTTGTGTGTCCCTGCTCCCTGTTTCCCACCCTTCCTGATCAAGGATTCCATGTAGGGCTGTTGGTACATGGCTCTTTAATCCCAACCAACAAAGCTGGTTTTCACCTTGATCAATTCTCTAATTGATCTAATTGTGGTGGCACAGGGGAGGGAACAAGACCATCCCTGTTACAGTCATGTAGATTTGTATTGGATTAAAATGGATGTTTGACCGTGGCTTTGGTTTCTGCTGCTTCTGAAGAGAGCGTTACAAACATCACACCTGAAACAGGTTTTGAGGAGTTAAGGTTTCATGGCAGGCTGGAAAAGGATGGAAATCCAGTCTGTTTCAGGAAGATTTCTTTTAGTAGCTAGCTGAAGTGTGTTCATAAACACTGAATTAAAGACATTTGTTTGAAGCGCAGATGCTGGTTGTGCCTGCACTTGGAATTAATTTTTATTCTTAATTTTTAGTAGTCCAAGTCTGTGGTCCATGTAAATCTCTTAAAAAATTTCTGGCATTTCTTAAAGAATGAAATTGAAACAACCAGCCTTTCTGCCCACCTCCAGAAAAACAAACAAACAAGGCCACCCCCACCTCCCTCCCGCCACCTGAAAACCCCGTAGACAAATGTGGTGGCATTCTCAATATCCAAGAGCACAGAGACTTTGGACAGAGGCAAATACTGGGTATGCCAGCAGTGATTAAAAATTAATCTGATGGCTTTGTTACTTATTCGATGAAGAAAACCTATAGGCGAACTCCGTCCCTGAGTCCACTCTAGTGAATTCTTGAGTCTTATTTACAGAAAAATGACATGCAGCATCAGAAGCTAAGTGCACACTTCAGGATGGCCTGTCAGGAGTCATCAGGGAAAGCACCTTCCCAGCCCTAATTTTGCTCCTGGGAGCTAGATCCCTGCAGTGTTTGGGAATAGCTGACTTCAGTAACCACTGTAGTTACGTGAGCATATCTACTATCTTACAAAAAAGAAACGAAAAAAAACCAACACCCAAACAACCCCCCCCCCCAAATACCCCACCACCAACAAACAAACAAAAACAAAGCTACCAAAACCCCTCCAAAAAGTAAGTAAGTTGACAAACTCAAGCATTTAAAACTTTGCAAGTGAGTGTTTCGAGGTTTTTTTTTACAAACTGGAATTGAAACATCCACAAATAACAGAAGCAGAGAAAGACCTGTGTGCATAGCATACTCGAGTTAAAACAAACAAAAAAAAAAAAAAGAAAAAAATATATTTAGCTCTTGGAATCTCTCATTAAAGTACGTGTTGCTGGGAAGCGGGCAGGAATTCATGTGCAGCTCCCCTCCCCAGTGGCTCCTCACGTGTTTGTTCTCATGCAGACCTTTTCAGAGCAGAGACGGAGCGAGCTGTCTGAACACGAACGATCCCACTGTCTGCGTGGGCTTTGGCCAATATTATTATTTTTTTTTCTCTTCTTCCTACCTCTTCACCACGTGTTTTGCATGAAGCAGTCTGTCGCCTCCGTGTCTCCTCTTAACTCTGGCTGATATTAGGTATGCTTTTGAAGCGTGATGGGCTCCACCTGAAATAACTGATGTGAGGAGTGAGATTACGGGTTCTGTCGGATGGTGGGGCAGGGCAGATCCCAGGGTGGGCTGCAAGGGCTAGCGGGGATGCGGAGGAAGATGCAGTGAGGGGTGCTCCGCTTTCACTACCTTTTCCAGCAAGGGTGCCTTGTATTGCAGAACCAGGTAGCTGGCAAGCAATTTAAAGGCAAAATAGGTAAGTTAAATGGCCATGTCTTCCACCCACTGCATAGTTCCCACTGATGTTTAAAGAAACTGCATGACTAAATACACCATGCAGTGTGGAATATTTACCCCAAAGGAACTAATAAAAGCCACAAAAGCTGTCTGCAGAATCTTACTGTTTTGTTGCAGCCTGTAAGATAACACTTCTTCAATTTCCAAGGCTTTCTGAAGAACTTGATATGATTGAAGCTCTGCTCTATGGATTAATTTCCTATCAATTGGTATAAAACCTAGTCCTTCATAGTACGTAGGGGCAAGTTCACAAGGTAAAGTTCTTGCTAGCCTGGTGGGGGGCTATACTATATACCTTAGCTGTTTCTTGGTTTGTAGGCTGAGACTGAGACCTTTTCGGTCCGTCTTGTGTGCTTAGCCTCCTGCCTTAGCCCCTAGCCTTAGATTCACGCAACATAGCTGGTGGCTCTTAACGCAGGAGTGTCACCGTGCTGTCTGTATTTCGTCTTTATTTCTTAACTTACACAGTAGGAAACCCGGTATTGTTTAGACAAAGAGGAAGGTGTATTGCTTTAATTATGCCTGCATGCCATATGGATTTCTTGAGGTGTATACAAGCTTCTGCTTCGCATTAATCAAAGGATAGCAGCGCCTCGCCAGGTCGGATCTGTTCAGACTTGTAGCAGTCGGTTCATTTATTAACCTGACACTGCGGGCTTGTACGATGTTGGGGTTGTGCTTTTGTTCTCCTGTGGAGCACTAAGTGCCCCAAAGTCCTGCAGCGCTTCCTGGGGCGGTTGATTCAGCTCTTGCCAGGGTAAGCTGGCTTGCCAACCTGGGTTTCTTGACTACTTACTGCTTTCCTGGACTCCAGTGCTTGGCTTGCTGAGGAGGCCAGCAATCCCCCTCCGAGAGCGTAGCCCTACAAGTATGAGAAACTATTCCTCCAGATAACTTTGCCTTCCCCCCGCCCCCCCTTTTTTTTTTCAAGTCATTCACACATTACCCTACAGATTTAAGATACAGATGGACAACAGGTTGAATATACCTGCGTGCGAGGGTACAGGACTCCTACAGCTCCTGAGAACGCCTCTATGGAGCGCTTTGTGCCTGGGAGAAGTTCTTCCCAAAGCTGCGTGCGTTGCTTTGTTTGGTTTATGGCACGGGGAGATTCCTAGTGTTTGAAGACCGATGGCTGCGTAGCCTGCCTGTTCTCCAGGAGGCCCAAGCTGGCAGCAGTTTTCTCCCTTTCCAGTAATGGATGCATGTTACGACTAGCTTTGTGGTATCTTTAGACAGAAACTTCTGAAAGCGTAAAGTTGGAGCCTATTTAAAAAAAAAAAAAAAAAGCAAGCTTTTTTTTTAATTATGCTTGTTGTTTTGAGGGAGAACTTTCTCAAAGGAGAAGCTGTGAAGATCAAAAGGGTAATGAGTCATTGAAAAACCTGAGCATTTATTAGATAAAAAGAACGTATAAGTCGGGTGGGGGGGGGAATCTTATCTAACATGTAGACAAAAATCAGTGGGCTGAGTGGACCAAAAAGACTTGACTTTTCTTGAAATTTCCACTTGGCATAATAGACGTTTTTGACCAGTGGGAAAAATACATAAGACAAAGGAAATTCCTTGCCTATCTGTTTGCTTGATGATTGGTATGCCTTTGAGAGCAAATGAATGCATATTTGTTTGACACTTCAAATTAAAGTGGAGGTGTGTTTTCCTTTTTATAAACTTGCTGTCACTTGTTTTGTTCATTTCAGCTGTGTTCAGTGCGTCACTGCACCAACTTGCCATATTCTCTTAGTTGCCAAAAAGAATTCCCTGTGTGGGTTTTTGTGTGTGTGTGTGTTTTGTTGTTGTGTTGTGTTTTTTTTTTTTGCTTTGTTTTGCTTTCTCTTTTTTCTTACCCACTTTGTGCCTCTGTTGTTGGGCTTAGTCCTTGTTGGCATGGTCAGTGTAACAGTGATATCTGAAAGAGCGATTCTCTTGCACTTACTGCAGAGCTCATGGTCTGAAAACAGGTGCTCAGAACATTTAAACGTAACATACAATATGAGGTTACACAGGGAAAGGGGGTGGCAGGAGCAATAATTACATTAAAGTGTAGTTTGCACTAACTAAATTTGACTAGCTTTAAATTACAATAAATTGTCTGACTGTTGTGTTTGCCATGTAATGGGCTAACATGCTGCTGCTTGCAAAAAACTGCTTACCTTTTTCTTTTTTCTTTACTTAACCATAAAGAAAAGCCTGCCATAGTGTGATGCTTCCTGAGATGTTTTCTTAGCTTAGGATTTCTGAACGGCAGCTCACTGTATTTTGTTGGATCATCCTGTTACATCTGTCGTTCTTTACAGAAAATTTTTTGTTAACGCCTCTGAAGTCTAATGGTAGCATGCACTTCTCTTCCCCTCTTCCTCCTCCATGTTTTTGCAGATTTCTGACTTTGGACTTGCAAAGTGCAATGGCTTGTCCCATTCCCATGACATCAGCATGGACGGCTTGTGTGGCACAATTGCATACCTTCCTCCAGAGCGCATCAAAGAGAAAAACAGGTGTTTTGACACCAAACACGATGTGTACAGGTCAGTTAACTATGAAAACACTTCAAAGCACTTTAAGAAGTACTATAAAATGAGCTCTCTTTTTCTAGTTATAAAATCTAGTTTGGCATGAAACCCCTAAATCTAGTTTGAGCCTCATCTTGCAGAGGGTCACGTTTGCTTTGGTTTTTGCAATGTCTTTGTAGGGTAGAGGCCTTTTAACAAACTGCAGCTGATCCTGGGTCTTGAGCATTATCATTCCAAGTAACACTTATTTATTAGCAACTGGCACGGGAGGCACTCTGCCCACCTTTAATTTCCCCATCAAAAAGTACATCCTGACCTACTTTTCGAGTCTGACAAAATTCTTAGCTATCTTCAGTGGATTTCATCATTAGGTCTTTGTTTCATCTTTCGTGGTGAGGTTATTAGGAAAAGGAAATCATAGCTGTAGATTAAAAGATATGTCATGTTCCAAATGGAATGTATTTCTTTAAAGTCGTCTTGCAATGTAGAAGTATTAAGTAAAATCCACAGCAATGCTGTGCTGCTCTCTGATTTTGTCAGTGGTGGAGTAGTTTGTAAATGTTACCAAAAACTCAGCAGCCTCCAGCAAGTCCCTATGTTGGCTGCCTCAGGTTCCTCCCTGAAAAAAATAGACTTTCAAATCATGGTTCTTGGCTGCATCTTGCTATGTGTGTTCATCAGCTGAATTAGATGCAGAAGTGAAGGACAAGGAAAGAGAAAAAGAAATTATACTTCTGTGAAGTTTTTGGCTTTTTTGTTTTTTTTTTTGTTTTGCTTTGTTTTTTTTAAGCTTTTCTAGAAATATATATATATATATTTTGCATTTATTTGTAGCTTTTCCATTGTGGTTTGGGGAGTTCTTACACAGAAGAAGCCTTTTGCAGGTAAGTTTGATGTATTGTGGGTTGTGTTGGAATTTTTTCCTTTTTCCCATTGATAAGTATGCTTCCTGCTCCGCCAGCCCCAGATTACATGCACGGCCTCCAAATTCCTACAGTCTTGTGTGGCTGTGTGGCAGACATCTTTAAGCTCTCACATTCTGATCACAAATCTAAGTCCCCTGTTGCCCTACATCACAAAAGCAGAGCCTGTATTGCTGCAGGGGGCCCTAGTTGCACCTTTTTGCTTCTGCTGGCGTTTGCTGTACAGACCCAGATTAGCCTGTGGTCTCTGCAGACTTCTGACTTGTTTGCGGCCAACGAGCAGCAGCGCAGAGTGAGGCCAACTGGCAGTCGACTCTGCTGTTTTCAGAAACAGCTTCTCTATAGAGAGGTTCTGTAGTTTATTTGTAGATTGTAGGTACAGATTTGTTCTTTAAAAAAAAAAGCCGTCTGTGAGAATAAGCCTTGTCCCACCCCACAGTAAACGTACCGATCAACAGGCAGCTATTTATTCTTTGACTTTTCCTGTGTGTATGACTAGCCTATGTATAGCAAACATGTTTGAACAGGTTCCAGTCTACTATTAATTTTTCTCCAAGTGAGAGATCCCATTTAGCCCAATGGTTGACTTCAGAGTCAATAGCCACATTACTGCACTGCTTGATTTGTGTTCTTCCTTCAGCTTTATGAAAAGTTGAGGAACCTGGTCTAACTAAAGCTGTGGTTCAGCTTTCTTAAAGCAGATACGGAAATCCAGAGAGAGGTAGCAAAGAACTGTTTGAGTTTTTCTATTTGGTTCTGTGTCTTTTATGGGTGGCAAAAGAACACAGTCACTTACTGACAATTGTTTTTAACTGATACACAGGAAGTAGGTGTTACTGTATTGACGAATGTATTATGGGAGAATAAGACCAACTTCTCCTTTTTCCCTGTTGATAAAAGAAAGCACTCTGAATCTAGAAAAAAAAAAAGCATGAAAACAAAGTTGCAGCCTAATACACTGTTAATGCTCTTAGACAAAAGAGAAATCCTTCCTTTTGCTGGGAGATCTTAACATGTGTGCTTTTGCTTTACAGAGGAAAACAACATTTTACATATTATGGTAAAAGTAGTTAAAGGCCACCGCCCAGAGCTACCTGCTGTTTCCAAATCCAGACCTCATTCATGTAATAACTTGATCAAACTGATGCAAAAATGTTGGCAAGATGATCCTGGTGAACGGCCAACATTTCAAGGTAAGAATCCTCGTAACTTGGCTGCCCATTTATTCTTCTATGAGTCACGTTATTGCTCAGGACTCTGTTAATCCTTGGGGTAAACGCTGTGAACCTCTGTGACAGAATAAATAGAGCACATTGTATGGTAGAGACAATGATACAGGCCACTTACTCATTTGTGGAGGAAGGGATTATCTGAGGACAAGTCTGACCATGGCGGTGTTATGTAAACACAACAGGAATAAGGACTGTACTGAACCAGTTGATCCATTTAGCCAGAAATTATGTTCATTTCAGATTGTGTGTATTGGGGCATATACCAAGCTGGAGTTGTTGTAGTTTTTACCATACCAAAACGTTGAAGGCCCTGGCTCTTGACATTTACTGTTGTATGCTGAGAAGCTAAATTGTTTTCTTGTAATAAAACAATTTGTACGGTCATTTTTCTGCCAATAAAAGGCAACTCTGGTGAAAGACTTGAACTTGGCCAAAGCACCTGTTATGAATTCAAAAGTGCAGAAGGATATAGGCAAGTGCTGTCTCCAGGTAGCTTCATTTAGCATTAATGGGAGAGACTTGCCTCTTCCTTCTCCTCCTAGCCAAACAAGGTATGGGGACTGAAGGGAAGAGGGATCCCATCTTTTTAAAAACATGTCTCAGTCTGCCAGCAATAGACTGGTTCCCATTTCATGCTCCTGCAGTGTAGCCACCATGTAACATCAGTCTGGCCTGAATGTGAAAATGAATTGCTCAGTCAACCCTACGCACTCTTTGCTTAGCGACACACTTGTACCTACTGATGAGGTGCTCAATGGAATAGTCAAAATTGGAGTCTTTCTCCCACAGTATCTCAAAGCTGTTAAGCTCTAATGATAGAGAAAGGCAGCAGGGCATCTAGGAAAAGTCTCCTATTAAAAAAAAAAAAAAAAAAAGGAACACCAAACCCAATACCTTCTCTTGCTTTCTTTAAAGAAATCACTTCAGAAACAGAGGCCCTTTGTGAAAAACCAGAAGATGAAACAAAAGAGATGATAACTCGGGACCTGGACAACAAGAATTCCCCAGAGCAGCAGCCTGAGGTATTTTCTCTTTTCATCTCTTGTTCAAGCGCACTAGGTTTTTCAAGGAACGGGTTCCTCTGTCACCTGTAACTTCCCAAGCAACCTTCTTTTTGCTGCTTTTGAGCACCTTCTTGCCTGATAGATGTGGGTCTTGGTGAAGGACTGGAATGCAAAAGTGACAGCAGATGCATAGACCAGCTCAGGAAAAGCTCAGCACAGGACTAAACGCAAGTGGATTTTAGACTGTTGAGGGAGAGGGGGACAGTTAGGAAATAAAGGCTGGAACTATGTGGGTGTGACTAATCTTAAAAAATGCTGTAGACAGAAGAGCCATGCGGCTTTAGTGGCTGTGTGAGTACTGATGAAAGCTGCCCTTCTGCATCTGAAAATTTTCAGTGACCTTATTCATGGGTTTCATTTAATATGAACAGTGCTTAAAGGCTACCTGCAAACTAATAAACTTATGTTTCTTCCTGTAGGGCCTCATGCTCAGTTTTCTTTACTGACCTTTCTAAAATGCTTGTGTGCTTCTCTTGAAGGGGATGTCTGCGTTATCCCAGCCAAAACAGGAGCCTGGTTTACCATCAGTTAAGGATTACAGTCTCTCAGAGTTGTTGTCCCAGCTGGATTCAGGGATTTCGCAGACTATGGAAGGCCCTGAGGATCTCAGCCGCAGCTCTTCTGAGTCCAAACTTGCCTCCAGTGACAAGCGGCTTTCAGGAGTGTCATCTGTAGATTCAGCTTTTTCATCCAGAGGCTCCCTTTCCCTTTCCTTTGAAAAGGAGAGTTCAGGTAAGAGTCAGGTTTTTCTTTGTTGTTGTTTATTTTTGTTGTTTGGACTGGGGCATGGGAGTCAATGGGTTGGAGAGCAGTCATATAAAGAATAGCGTTCTGGAAATCACTGTTAGCCTTGCTTTCTCTTGCTGTCAGCACTACAAATTTGTTTACTGGAGGTAGTTATTTAAAAAATAAAAAAAAGAATGAGGTGGTTCCCAAACATGATCTAATGAGAAATAATAAATCTCATTTACTTTTGAAAAGAAGTGACCTGAATTTCCACCAAAGCAATTATAGAATCAGTCATGTAAAGGTTGTTTGGAAGGGAGGTCACCCAGTCCAGCATCCTGCTTGAAGCGGGACTAAAGCCAATGCCCAGTCAAGTCACCTGAGTTTGTGGCTTTTTCAGTTATACTAAACTCAAGTCTCAGCACCACTTTTTTTTTTTTTTTCTTTGAGAAGACTTAAGCCACCTTCTCAGTAGCCCCATGAGGACTCTCAGTGTTGCACACATGCCCTTCCCTTTTGAATTGAATACTGCAAAAAAATAGCTTCTGTCTTCCAATGATTAGTGCAGGGAGGTCAATCACAGCATCCTTTGTTCTTCATTTCCCAAGAAACAGAGTAAGAGTAAGTGAGGCTCCAAATGTGACCTGAAATTGTTGTGAAACTGCTGCAGGGGGCAGAGGGGGGATTTCTTTGTAGTCAAGTTATTGCTGAAGCAACCAGATACGTTAGCCTCGGGTAAGTAAAGTTTGATGGGTATCAGAACTGTGACGGTGTCTTTTTCATAGAATCACAGATTAGTTTGGGTTGGAAGGGACCTTTAAAGGTCATCTAGTCCAAACCCCCAATGAGCAAGAACATTGTCAATTAGATCAGGTTGCTCAGAGCCCCATCCAGCCTGACCTTGAATGTTTCCAGGGATCTACCACCTCTCTGGGCAACCTGTTCCAGTGTTTCACCACTCTTATTGTAAAAAATTTCTTCCTTATATCCATCTAGATATTGGTACTACAGACATACAGAAGAGGAAGCTAACGGAGGCCATTTTATCTGGAGATACCAGCAAACTGATGAAAATCCTTCAGCCTCAAGATGTTGATATTGTTTTAGACGGGAACTCCAGCCTTTTGCACTTGGCTGTTGAATCTGGTCAAGAAGAATGTGTCAAATGGCTTCTCCTGTACAATGCTAACCCTAACCTCACCAACAAGAAAGGATCCACCCCTCTCCACATAGCCATTGAGAAGAAAGTTAAAAGCATCGTGGAGCTGATTATGGCTAGGAAAATCAATGTTAATGCCAAAGATGAGGATCAGTGGACTGCTCTTCACTTTGCTGCCCAAAATGGGGATGATTTCAGCACCAAAATGCTGCTTGATAAGAATGCATCCTTAAATGAGATAGATTTTGAAGGCAGAGCCCCCATCCACATAGCCTGTCAGTATGGCCAAGAAAACATCGTGCGGATCCTGCTGAGAAGAGGCGTTAATGTGAACATCAAAGGAAAGGATGACTGGGTGCCACTGCACTATGCTGCCTGGCAAGGTCATCTCCCCATTGTGAAGCTCCTGGCCAAACAGCGGGGTGCAAATGTGAACGTGCAGACCGTGGATGGAAGGACCTCGCTACACTTGGCCGCGCAAAGAGGACACTACCGTGTCGCTCGCCTTCTCATAGACCTGGAGTCGGATGTCAACATACAGAACGGACTCTTGCAGACTGCTCTCCACATAGCTGCTGAAACTGGCCACACAAGCACATCGAGGCTGCTCCTTAAACACGGTGCAGACATTGAGGCAGCAACAGCAGAAGGATACACTGCTCTGCACTTGGCTTCTCGCAGCGGCCATTTAGCAACAACAAAGTTGCTGATAGATGAGAGGGCCAGTGTTCTAGCCAGGGGCCCTTTAAATAGGACAGCGTTACATCTTGCTGCAGAAAACGGGCACTCTGAAGTAGTAGAAGAACTTGTCAGTTCAGAAAATATCAATATTTTTGACAATGAAGGGTTGACAGCTCTTCATCTGGCGGCGCGAGGAGGGCACATAAAAACAGTTGAGGTTCTTCTGAAGCACGGGGCGCACACTGACATGCGAAGACCCACACGTCAGACCCTGCTACAGCTTGCTCAGCAGAGCAGTAGTAGCTCAGTTACAATGTTGTTAAGTGAGACTTAAGCAAAAGGTAACAGAACTTGCTGCCTTTCTACCAGGTGCGAGAAGGCTGCTGGAGCTTGACTCATGAGGGCCTTCTCCAGTTGTGCAGCGCTCATCAGCAGTGTCAGCCATGGACTGAGGTGCAACCAGCAGAAGCTACTTGTGTTTGCGTGTGCAAGTGAGAGCACACATGGACTAAGGCCAGCCATAAGGCTAAGAGCTGGAATCTGCCGTGCCGTGGTCTGTATCAGTCATTCTGCGTGTGCCTGCCCTGTCTGTATATTGACATTCCCCTCCTAAGGATGTTGTGAGAGAAGGATGTAACTTTGTGGGTTTCCCCTCTGCTTTTTTTTTTTTTTTTTAAAAAAAAAAAAAAAAAAAGATGGCATAGATTCCTGGTTTATTGCAGTGATCTATATTTTGGGCTGAAAGCCTCCAGCATAAAATAAACACATAACAAATCTGCTTGAAATTAAAGTAAGAGATGAGGAAAGGGCTATTTAAGATACAGTTATTCACATTTCAGTGTCAGAAGGTACTCTGTTTAACAGAGACATTGATTACAGTTTTCCATGTACTTGAAATTGATGAGGCAGGCTTATTAACAAGGTAGAATCCCCTAAATACATAAGCAGAAGTAAAAGCTTAACTGGCATCTTCATATACAGTACCACCTTGTATGTATCCTAATATCAGTAAGCTGAACTAGGTGCTTAGTGGTTTGTCTTAAATGAAAAAGTCAAAAGCTAAAATTCATACTGGACTGTAACTGGATGGTATATTCTAACATCGTTATACCAATTTGCGAAACAATGTTTGGAGGGGCTGATGACTAGACTGATATACTGTGTATATAGTATTTCTACCTGTTGTATGCTTTTTTTTTTCTACTGAAGAAAATAGATTGCTTAGAGTGGGTATGTTTTAATACACCTTTTAATTTCACTCTTTTCAAAGTTCAAATGTGATCTGTTATTAATAAAAAATTGTGTTACATATCTGTCTGTATTTTGTAGTTGTTAAAGCAACTGAAAACCCATTGACCAGCAGCAGCACACAACTGTATTGTGTTTAATGACACTGAAGCCCAAACCATTGAACACGTGAGGCTGTCCTCAGTTTTACGTTTCCCTTAGTTTTCATATGGAAGGTAAGAAGCTTGAATGGAGGTGCAATTTACAGAATAAATTTATAGAATAAAACCCCACACAACCTAGCCTTTGTGTGCATAACACATTGATCTATAACGGGGATGCTTTCCTTTCATGCTGTTTAGTTTTCTTCCCCACCTTGAAGCCAAGTCAAATGCTCTTGCATCTTCCCTGTTGACTGGTCGGCTGCTGCCCAGACAGGTACCTCACCTCTCCTTGGTGGTGTGTTCCCACCATGTGTGCCACAGAGCAAGCAGCAGTGTCATGCTTTGTTCCCACCTCCCCTGATAGGAAAGCTGCTCCTGCTCCAGACCTTTTTTGCACATAGCTGACAGCAGTAGTATGAACACCAGTGCTACCTCAGTATCTGATTTTGGGAGTGAAAGTGCTCCTGTGGGAATCTAGCCCCACAAAAGTCTTAAAAACCAAAAACCAGTCTCCTGTCATTGGAAATGGTAGTAGCTGAGGACAACCAAAGGAGCGTGGGTGCTTACAGAGGGGGCAGGAAACCTGCTGCTGTTTGATACTATTCCTGGCTCCAGGTAGGTAACTCTGTGTACCTGTGTGCAACTCCCCTAGTTCAGTTTCTTGAAGTTCAAGACAGCTCACTGACTGCCTAATGAAGCCGTATTAAAGAACGGATGGTGAAGCCACGCTCATGCTCATATATGGAGGTTACAAAGCAATATACCTCTTACTAGAGCATGGCAGTCACAGGAGGCTTCCTAAAAGTGCTGACAGTGAAACTTCTCATTAAACAAACAAAACTGTAATTTTCTTAGTGCTTCCTTCAACTTCTTTTGAGACCAATAAGGCTGTCATGTTTCATTAAGCTGTACTTAATCAGTCTCTCTTTATAGCAAATTCAACCACAGACCACTTAGTCTCTCAAGTCCTGTGCCACTGTGATTTAACACTTGGCCTCACCCAGCACACACCATACCCTTCTATTTCAAAGGCCTCCAAACAGTGAGATTTGAGATGCTTTAATTCCAGTGGTATTTGCCTGAACTGCAAAAGAGCTGTAAGACCGGGTAAGAGCAGTCTTGTGCCTCCTAATAAAGGTGGTGCATGCCAGCTAGGCAAGGGGAAAGTACACTTAAAAAATGCTTTTAAAACAGCTCAAGCACTGCTTCGCCAATACATTCCTTCAGTGCCTAATAATAATAGCACATTAGCTTCTAATTAAACATGAGGCCACACTCATGAGTCTTGATTTTCCATGCCATCTTTCACAATAACAGGCACCAGCTATGCATTACATAGAAGGCAACACAGCTGGCACTGGAAAAAAAAAACAACGAAGGGATTGCAATGACCTGCTGCCAGTATTGGAGTGGGTATTTGTCCCTGTGAACCAGCCTTCCTTGGGGGCAGGAGGGGTGAATGGGGGTGCTAAATTAGCACTAATGCAGCAATTATGAATTACTGTTTTGTAAAGGTCTCCTGCGGGTGACTTTCCTGGTCGTATGTGCTCTCCTCTGACTTAGCTGAAGTCCTAACTGGGCTGCTGACCTAAAGCTTACAGGCATTTCTTTGCCTCTTTCCAGGCTCAGCTGTGTTCTTCAAAAAACTGCCCCCAAAGTATACAGAGCGACCTAATGGCAGTATTGGGCTTTGTCACTACTTACTAAAGAAAAAAAAAAAAACCAACCCCAAAACACTCTACAACAAGAAAAAAGAACTCCCCAGACCCAACTGTAAATGCACACACTCGCTATCATTTGACTTCTTTTCCCTCATTGAGTTGACAGGTTGAACTCAGCTGCCCCATGTCTCAGAGGAAACCTGTTCCCCACACCACCTTCTGCCAGCTTCCCTCCCTCTGCTCCAGCTCATGCCCTGAAGCAAACCAAGGAAACGGTGTGAACCAGCTCCTGAGCCACTGGCTCTGCCCACTCACCCCTCAGGCTCCAGCCCTCACGCAAACCCCTAAAACGTGCCCAAACCCTCCCCGCATACCCAGGAAGTGGCTGTGAGAGGTGGTGTGAAGGCACAGAGGGCACCACGGAGCTGAGCCTTGCTCCAGGTCCCCCGTGCTGCCCGACTGCTTCCATAGCAGCAGAAAGGGCTGCAAGATGAACATGAGCTCCTCTTGCTCGCCCTCCAAAATCAGGTAGAGGTTGCTTGTGGGGTTTCTGTGTACACCGTGCTCACGCCTGCTTCTGACCATGGGTGGCTATTTCAGCCCAAGGAGTAACGAATGCAGGAAAAAAAAGATACAGTGAAATGGCATTAGTGACCATAAGCTTCAACTTTTCCTCTATAGATGTGCTTTTTCAACCTGTGTTCTGCCTGCGGGATGGCAGTCTGGGCTTGGTGCCGGCTCCCTTGCGCAGGAACCCCAGCAGCGAGGAAGGTGCCTCACACCGTCCCCATTCCACGCTCCTCCATCCCGGCCTCCCCCTCTGGGGGGATAGCACGCAGCCCCTGATGCATCACAACAGTTTGTTCCCAGCACCCGGTAACTTTATTTACTTGCTACTTAGCACCAGGCACTGCAGAGCCGTGTTTCTACAGGCCTCGAGAGGACTCGACAAGTCTGCGGTTCAAACATGCTCAGCAGCGGTGGCGACGAGGGGAGAGGAGAGGATAGGATTGCTGGGTGATTGCAAAGAGGCCCGGAGGCAAACCTCAGCCCTTTCATTCCTGCCTCCACTCTTGCACCACCGCCTTGGCTCTGCGCAGCAGGGTTGCAAGAAAAACAAGGCATGTGGGAGCTGCTTGACAAGGTCTCCTTTAGCGGGGAGGTCCGTGGAGGGGGATATTGGCTCTCCTCCGTGCTCCTGTAACCCCAGCTGGGTGGCATAAGGTGCCAACCGGCTCGCAGGTATCCCCCAAATAAACCCAGGCAAAGCCTTTGGGTGTCATGGTGCTCTGCTGCTGGGGTGCAAACCTGCGTCACCTCCCTGACTGCCCCTGGGCCCAGCTGCTGATCAGATCCCACCGCCCCTGCGCCTGAGAGAGGGGGCGTCCAGCCTTTCCCCTTCCCTCCTGGTCTCAGACAGGGACGGCTTTCTTCAAGCAGCATTGATTTTGATCTGTTTCTTTGAAGGAGACCCACACAAGTGGGGAAGAAAGACTTCTGGGCTTCTTTACACACAAGTCCTGGGGCCAGGCCTTGGAGATAAGATGTCATCCCCGCTTAGCCTGTCCTCCTGTCCTGTTCTTTGGCCAAAACCACCCTCATGCACACCTGGGTCTCTGTGTGAAGCCTTCAACTGCTTTTGCCACATGGATTCGGTGTTGCGGAGGGATGGATCACACACAGCCTCTCTCCCCTCCCTCCTTCCCCTCTCCCTCCTTTTGAGACACACTATAACCTGGGGGCTGTGGCAAAACACCGAACGCCCGGCGCTCCTATCACCGACCCAAGCCAGGGAGGGAGGGATCCACAACCCGAAGTGAGTGCTGATTAACCCGAGCAGCATACGAGCAGAGGAAGCCCTTTCAGCTGGGGAGGCGGCAGAAGGCAGATCCCAACACGTCGTCGCACAGCGGCTGAGCGTCAGGGGCTGTGGCAGCGAGACGCGGGGCTGAGGGCAGCGTGTTGGGGCTGGGAGTGGCACGGGACGGCTGTGCCAGCGGGGAGACAGCCACCATAGCCAGCTGGGGCGGGAAGCCATGGCTGCTGCACTGCAGAAGCCCTGAGCTTGTAGGGAAGCAGGCGGCCAGGCACTCAAGCGAAAACGGGGTTTAAAATTACTGCTGCCACCACCTTGTGTTTTTGAAACACTGTGGGAGAGGCTTCCGGGCTTTTCTCTGCTGTTATGTAGAGCAAAGACCATTTAAAAGCTAATAAAGAGCAACTCGCGATCTGCACAGAAGCGCCTGGCTCTAAGAGGCTCGAGTAGAAACACGCAGAAACAT